CAGCCAACTTTGGGACAGACCCTGTGGGGCCTCGGTGACGATTCTGGGTGTGGGCATCTGTTTTCCCATACTTCTCCTCACTCCTTTGCCTCTGAATTGAGCATTTCGACATGGGACAGGAGAAAGGGACCCCCACAGACTAAGGAGAAAGAATGCACTCCTTTATTCCCTGCAGGAGAGACTGCTCGGGGAGCAGCCAGCACTCGTGGGGTTGGGTCTGTCGTGGTCTTGGGGCCCCCAGCCTTGCAGTGATGGAAGCACTGCTGGCTCCACGGACAGGGCAGGTCCAAGTGGGGGCTGCTGCTCCTTTCTCAGAGCTTCTCCAGGTAGGAACCAGGGACAAAGCCACGCTGCCCATTCCGTTCCACTGTCCACCAGCCATCTTCCCCTTCCAGAATGACCTCCAGGATGTCCCCTGCAGAGATGTCCAGCTCGTCGGAATTCTTGGCAACAGAATGGAAGCTCATCAGGCTGGAGGGGCCAACTGGGAGGGTCTAGCCGGACATCCCCCCACCCCAAGCTGTAAATTCAAGCTGGTCTCCCAGGTGGGCTGTCAGCCGAGACATGCCTGGCCTCCAGGCACTGCAGGACAGGCCTCTGGGATAGGGCAGCCCTTGGAGACATACAGGTTGTGGGGTGCCCCATGGGAGTCGGCCTCCTGCCCGCCCCCCCCCCGCTGCCTCGTTTGTCATAGGCCTCCCACAAACCTGGGCCGCTTCTCTGCTTCACATCCCTGCTGCCCCTTCTCCCACTCTCTGTTCCAGACAACAGTGATGAGCAGGTCGGGCCAGGTGTGCTCACTGGGCCCAAGCCCAAGGGGCGTTCTCATTCCAGGCCCACGGCACGCAGACCCCCTTTGCCGGGGAGTCCCCTAAACTTCCTCAGTCCTGCTAGCCCCGGTCACAGGCACACTATTCTCCTGGCCTGTCTCCCCTGCCAGGGACTGGGCTTTGGGAGTCAGTGCAGTCTGCCAAGGCCTCGCCCAGTCCTGAGTGGGTGTGTGGCTTCAGTCAGGTGGGTATGGGGACTGGCTCTGCACCCCTCACCTCAAAGCAGGGAGCCAGTTGGACTCCCCAGGATCTTGGCACTGTGGATCCTTGACCCACACTCTCCCCATGGACCTCAGAAAACCAAACCCGGCACTGCTGAGGGACCGATTCTGGTCATATGTTGTTCTCGGCACTCATGGCCATGAATAACAGGGCTCTAACCTGAGGATGCAGAGCCTGGCGCCTAGACCTAGCTCTGTCAGCTTGCCTGCACGTGCACACACAGACACACACACACACCCCACACAGACACACACACACACCCCACACATGGTATACACAATGGCCACGTCTGTTTGGACACCACGTGTGTGTGTGTGAACAGATTCAGGGAAATACAGATTCTGGTCCCCATTCATCAGCAGACATGCACAAAGCCTCCCTAAATACTGGGTGCTGTTCTAAGGACACACACCCCAAGCACACTCACAGTGCATTTGTCTACATGTGAACACACATTTGGGTACCCGTGCCTTCCTGAGAAGGAGAGAAGGGTGAACGCCTCACCTGGGCCCTGTAGTCATAGAGCGCCCTGTGGCCCTGGGCTGGCAGCGTGGGGGGTCCCGGCACCTCCTGCACTGCAACTGCTGCATAGACAACCTCATTCCGACTGGGGCTGGGCAGCGGGGCGTCTGTGGAGGCTGAGAGCACAGGGAGGCCCGGAGCTGTTCCCTCCCATAAGACATTGGCCCCTGGAGACCCTCCCCTTTGTGGAGTCTCCCCAGACTTGGCCTAGCCTCTTCCCCAGCTGTGGGATGGCCCATCTGTGCATGCAGAAGTCCTCTCCTTCACCCCAGTGTCACAGTTTGGAGGTACCCACATCATACCGACTTACCTGCAGAAGCTGTCAGTGGTGAGGTCTTGGGACTTCCATGCAACAGTCCAGAGAACCTGGGGATGGAGGAAAGCAGGTAGGTCCTTCAGGAAGGGGATGAGGCAGGGAGCCCTCAGAGCTCCAGGTCTATGGCCGCCCCTAGCCTCCATGTACAGATGTGACTTATGGGGTGCCCCTCAAGCATGAGGGCTCCCCAAAGTGCCATCCCAGCAGCACCCTTCTAGTTCCCCACACTGTAGCCCTCCTCTCAGTACCTGGCCCCTGCAGGGCCCTGCTCCTGCTCCTAACACCTTCCCTGGTGGGCACTGAGCTGCCCTTCAGAGACGGTCACTCACACCCACTGGGATGATCACCTGCGTGGGCCCAGCCAACTCTCCTCCCCGCGGCCCCACCCCAATCAGCCACTCCCGGGCCACACAAAGCAGGATGCCCACTGTACATGTGACTTCCGGGGGGCAGTTCTGGGCTAATTCAGTCCTTCCCTGTGCCTGGCTCAGGCCTGGACTGAGCTGGAGTCATGAAGGTTTGAAGGTTCATTGAATAAAAGAATATCTTCTCCCACTCAGTAGGTTGTCTTTTTGTTTTGGTGATGGTTTCCTTTGCTGTGCAACAACATTTTAGTTTATTTTTTATTTTATTTGTTNTAGCTGCTGTGTGCTCTGCAACTGTGCTCACTGCCAAAAATCCTCACAGGTTGTTGCGGGCTGCCTGGTGGTGCAAAAAAAACCCCTCTGTGGCCTGCGGAGGTGGGGGCCAGGCACCAGGGGCTCAGGGTGCCCTCGCCAACACAGCTCTAGGTGGGTGGGACAGGCCCCCAAGGCACCACAGGATGTGGTCAGTGGCCCCCACCAAGTCAGAGCAGCATGCACTTTTGCACTGGCAACCAGCCACACAAACTCGCCAGGAAAGCCCTGGCCGGATCACGCAGGCGCACAGCTCACAGCCCAACACTCCCAGGAAAACTCCCAGTCTCAGCCTGTTCCAATCAGCCTGCTGGCAGATCAGGCTGAGCAGCCCGATAGCCACTCGCCAGCCTGGCAACTCTGCATGTGCAGTGCGGAGAGCAGGGACCCAAGGTGGCTCACGCATTCCCGCATCTCAATGAGCAGCCTATTGGAGCCGGAGCGCGCCCGCCAGGTGTTTCCCTGGCTATGTAGCATAAGCAGTGTGGAGGGTAGGGATCCAAGGCCGCATGCGCACGCACACGCACACACGCACTCCTGCGCCAATTCCACCAGAGCATTGTGGTCCCAGACCTGACCATCTGTGGGAGGGCCCAACCATGAAAAAATGGTGCTCTCCTGTACACTACTCATGTGCAAGCTCCACACCAGAGGGACAATGGTCCCAAAACCTCCAGCTCCCGTGCCAAAGACGCTCAGTTCAGTTCTTCCCTGCAGGCTCCTGGGCCCCGCTCACACAGCTACTCCCTCCACCAGGGACCGGGTGAGTGCTCACCAGCGAGCGAGTCCGTGTGCCGGTTCCACTGGTTCTCTAGCTGCCCTCAGCCTCACCAAGTTGAGCAAAGAGTTCTCACTAATTTCTACTGCCAGCTATCGTGGAACTCCTCTTCCCGGCAAATTAACTCTGGGCTGGTGAGCTCGCTGTGGGGCTGGAGGGTCACTGCCCCAACGGGAGAAGCCTCCCCACTGCTGAGGTGTCTCTCACGGGGTTCGCCCTCCCTCGTCTCTGCCCCTCCTACCACTCAACGTGACCTCCTCTTTAAGTCCTTCATTTAGAGGTTCTGTTCATCTAGTGTTCAGGGGACTTCTGAGGTTGAATGTTGTATAAATTATTTGTAATTTTGTTGTGATCCTGGGAGGCAGTTGGCACAGCATCTGGCTATTCCGCCATCTTACCGGAAGTCCCCCTAGAATGGTTTCTTCTTTAACCCAGCTTAATCCTCTTACTTATCCAAAATAATGTGGCATGACTTTATTACTATTTATTACTAGTCCAATATGCTACTACAGAAGGAGTAGGGTTTATTAAAGTGATGGAGGAATGACCTTTACAAAATAATATGTGTGTGATACCACAGAGCCAAACCTGGATTTCAAAAATAGTACATAGTTGTGGAAGAAACAAAAACCTTCAAACTACATTTTTTGGCACAGGGTTGATTTTTCCACCATAGGCTTTGGGCTATTCATGTACTGAATTTTGTGGGTTGTTACAAAGCTTATCTCCCCCAAATCCACATGCCTGAAAAGACCACTAGTAAATTTTCTCAACAGTCTTGATCATTCCACTTCCTAGACCTTTGCTGTCTAGTGTGGTAACCAGTAGCCACATATGTCTTTTAAGTTTAAATGAATTTAAATAAAATAACACAACTCCTTAGTTGCAGTGGCTCGTGGCTCCCATATCTGACAGCTCAGATAGCGAATGTTTCCATCGCTGCAGAACATTCTTTTGTACAGCACTGCCCCAGATGGCAGTAAGAAAGCCTTAATTTTTGGCTGGCTTCACAGATTGTTCTTAGGTATAAGCGAGGAAAGCTAAAACTTGGTACTTAGTTCCTAAAAAGGTAATGTATTCATTAGATGTTACTTCTCTCACTATTGTTATTTATTGCTTTTTTGATGATCGAGGGTCACTGAACTTTGAAGTAGCTCCGTCTCTGTTGCCAACAAAGAGAAGTACACTTGCTTCATGCGGGTTTTCAGCCTCCTTTCCCACTGTTGTTTTCCTCCCACAGCTGCTGGGCGTGCTCTGTGCGTGCATCGTATTGTGCAGAAGGACTAGAGATCCTGCTTATGAGCTCCTCATCACCGGTGGAACATACGCTTAATCGGAAACTCAAGCCTCAGCTTTTTGGTCTTGTTCTGATTTGGAAGGTGAATTGAGCAGGCCTCCTGCAGTTGGCCTCCTGAGTTGGTTTTGTTAAAGCACACAAACACAGGTGTTGGACAGAACTGTTTGGCTCTCCACGAGCCCACCTACTTCCCTACCCACCTATAATTTTCGTTCCTCTTGTAGCTGACTTCATGTCCCTATATTTTTCAGGACGGTGATGTATGTTTTAATTTCAGAACCATTTGCAAGTTGCGTAGTGTGGTAAAATTAGAGGGTGTGGCCTGCTTCCCTTACCTCCAGGCGGTGATGGGACTGCTGTCTAAGGGCACTGGGTCCCATCAGGCTTTGCAGTGGACAACTCTTGGCCAAAGAGTTTTGCAGGGAGGGAAAGCTAACGCCAGAGGGTGCCCCTCGTTAGTGTCCTTTTAAAAACTATATCCTGTAGGTCAATAAGATAGCAACTGTACAAAATGGCTAAAATAGATTTTAGGATCATACAGTGTGTACTTTGGTTCATCTTCAAAATCAGACTGATCTTTGAAACTAGCGGTTTTTAATCAAAGCTGGCTTTATAGGAGGAGTATAATGTATGCACTATTGTTTTAAAACAATGAGTGTGAGTGTGTGTGGGTGTGTGTGAGAGAGAGAGAGAGATTGAGTCCCTTCATTGTAAGTCTAAGCTCCTTAGAAATAATGTACCCACGTAGACTCACAAGACAGTATGTACATGTTATCTCAGTTGTAAATAGGAAAATCTAATTCAATAAACTCCGTATCACCCCTCAACATGTAGTTTGTAATTATTTGGGGTCCGTCAGTTCCAGAGCAGCAGCAGTGTGATGTTTTCAGTGATATGGAGAACTTACTGTGCATGGCCTTTGTTCTCCTTGCCTTCAAGGCCTGCGGAGTCCTGGTATTGCAGACAGACACAACAGCAGGTATTTCCATACAGCGCAGTCACGAGTAACAGACGAGGTGCCCGGAGAGGTCAGGAGGACTTCCAGTAGGAGAAGCCCACGCCCAGACACTGGATAGGCTTTGTGGGCCAGGACCCTGGGAGTGGGAGGGGAGTGGCAGTGTCCAGAGAGCTACCAGTCAGTCATCGGGCCAGGGCCTTAATATACAAGGCTGGGAAATGAAGTAGGGTCCTACACGACATCCTGCACAGGATCAGACCTGGCTGACAGGTGGAGGCAGCCATGTGTGATGTGAGCAGACCTGCTGCAGGTGTCCCCGTGGTTGTGGCAGGGCGTGGCCAGCTTCAGTGAGGCCGATGCAGCTCTGGAGAGAGCTGAAGAGTGCAGTAGGGCGTTTGAAGTAGGTGAGGAGCTGGACTTGGGGAGCTTGGGGGTGGCAGGACAATGGTGGGAGTTTATCATTGATTGAATGTGGGACAGAGAAAGGAGAGCAAAGGAGTCTAGGATGAGCCCCAGGTTTCTGGCTGAGTCACAGAGACAGGAAACAAGGAAGGAGCCCATGTAGGATTGTGAATTCACCTTCTGTTTTGGACCTGTCAGTTTTGAAATCCTGGAATGTGCAAGTCTGTCCTGCCTGACAGTGGACAAGAGGCGAGAAAGGAGAGCGGTAAAAACTGTTCATAGAGTGGGAGTTCATCCAAACATTCACGATTTCAGAGAACTGTAGGAGGTTTGATTCGTTCCACTGACGCACCCTACCTCTTGTTCCCTACTTGTTGCATGGTGGGTGAGAATGTTTTGCTTGTCCTCATGGCCTTTCACAACCACCTTCCTACCCCAGCCCTGTATCCCCTGCCCCTGCAGCTTTTGGTATGTACCATTCTGTGGCCACCCTGTCACCTACTGGACCTGGGTGAGCAACGTATGGACTGGGACACTGGTCGCCCTCAGTGAGCTCTGCATGACACAACTGAGCCTCGAGTACGAAAGTGCTTTGGGAAAATGTGCCAACTGGTAGCCCACTCTTTGAACTTGTCCAAGAGACTAGCTCCACATACCCCTCCTTCACTCATTCCTGTCTGTGTGCCTGGCAAAAGCGCAGCTTCCTTCCCTGTGCTCTGAAAGCTGGACACAACTCCGCTGTGTTAGCAGTGAAGCCAAAAAGCTGGGGGATGGTGTCTTAGAGCCTTTTAAACCTAGTTCCTGCCAGCCAGCTTTAAATTGTGTCATTCCTGGCATGGTCCTGGAAACACCTTTTTCCTTTGCCTGGGAACCTCTCGGACATATGTCCATGTTGGCCATATATATCCAACTTTTACCTGCTTAACATCTCCAGAGTCTCTGCTATACCAACCCGGAACCAAAACTAGGCACCTGTCCCTTGGTGCAAATGAGCCCCCTGTGTCTGAATTTAATGACTCAGCTCTCTGAACACAGTGCTAGTGTTTCCTGCCCTTGTCTGCACTTTGGAGTCACCTGGCGGACCTTTGAGAATCGCACATGTGTGGGTCCCAGAGCCTCCAGAGCACAGTGAAGGCTGAGAAGCGCCGCTGTATCCTGTTGTCCTTTTTAAAAAGCTAATTTCCTTTGGAAATAATTTCATTTACAGGGAAGTTGTAAGAATAAGAATTTTACATAGAAGACCCAAATACCTTTTCGTGACACTTACCTGTAATGTTGCTCCGTTTGATCTGTCTTGTGATCTCCCACACGCTCTGTCTCTGCACATGCCTCATGGCCCGAACACTTCAGTGGGTGTTTCCTGAAAGCAGCCTCTGACAACCACGGTACAATTACCAAGCTCAGTACACTTAACACTTTAACCTGCCATTCGTATTGCAGTTGATCTCATAATGTCCTTTATAGCCTTTTTTTCTCCCCCAGTCCTGGAGCTAGTCAGGTGTTATAGTTGTCATGTCTCTGTTCTGTAATAGGGAGCATTTCCATAGTTTTGTCACTTAGGATATAGACGTTTTGGCAGAAAGGTCTCTTTCTTGTAAATGATGCTCACTTGGGGTTTCTTTATGGTTCCTCTGATTGGATTGGGTTAGGGTTTGCATTCCAGGTGCTGGAACGCTGCTTGTATCTTGTGTCCTCAGGGGCATCACATCAGGATACGGTACAGTGTCATCTGCCCTCATGGCCATGTTGATTTGGATCATCTGGTATATCATTCAAGGCCCGATGCGGGGAAAGTGGAAAAAGGAAAAATTTAAACAGTGTTAACTGTGTAAAAGATTGGTTAGCTACTGCTAAATGAGGGTAAAAAACCAAACAAGTCTCTAAAGCCTCTAAAGTCTCTAAAGTCTAGTAGAAAACAGCCACCATCCCGAGGGTCAAGGGGAGAGAGGACAAAGAAGGAGTTAGAAACTCAGAAAAGGGGCTGCAGGGCTTGAGTCAGACCCAGGAGCAGCGAGGGGTGTGCTGTGCCACACACTCGCTTGCCGGAGGTGTCGCCCGCCTGCCTCCGCTGTGGGGAAAGCTGCGGGACCTGCGCCAGACCCAGGCAGATGGGCTCCTTCAGCCTTGCCTTGCTCCGCAGAGTCCCCTTGCTGGCCATCAGGCAAAGGAAAGATGGAGTTTGCCAAGTCCCAGCTTTGGTGTGGCAAGAAAGGGTGGGTTTGGAGCTAGGAGGCCACCGAGTAACACCTGACATACCCGATCAAGGCGTTTCCACCTTCTCCATGGGGCAGTTACTATTTTCTGCTCCCCATGCAATCGCTACAGGCACACTGTAAAAAGTATAAATAGCCTGTACTTCACCAAATTGTCTGTATATTTAGCAAACACTGCTCATTCTGGCCTGATTCAGTCTTTCCGATGATTGTAAAACACTGGTTTTCCTCATGTACCAATGTGTTCTCCCTTCTCCCCCAGTGATTATGTAACTATATTCATTATGAACACATGGGTTCCCATTGTTTTCAGTTGTTATAATTCATTATCGTCCTTGTTTTGTTTTGCTTTGGTTCTCAGATGGTTTCAGATTTGGCCAATGGGAGCCCCTTTGAGTTGCCTCCTGTGTCCCACCCATTTTTTTTTTTTTAACATTTCTGTCATTTTTGATGTAGGATATTTACAGGGTCATCCTATACCTGCCGTGCCCCAGCCCAAGGTCAGGTCCCGGGACTAGCTGTGCTTATTGCTGCTGTGGTATCTTCTCATCCTATCAGAGCTCATCTTACTGTCTTTCAAAATTTGTTTTTAATTTTTTTTAACAAGTTAATAGTGCTTTTAAAAATGTGATTACAGATATCTCTAAAGGAAAAAGTACCCACTGGGAAGCAAGTTTTGAAGTGGTATGTATTCCTCCAGACTGCTGCTGACACTTAACGCTGGTTTGAACTGTGTGAGTCCACTCATGTGGATTTTTTTCAGTGTATATACAGTCGGCCTTCCATGTGGGTTTTGCATCCACAGATTCCACCAACCACAGACTGAACGAAGACAGTGTATTCGATCCGTGGTTGTGGCCTGGATATGAGGAGCCAACTGTATGTATTGTTCTACACCATCAGAAGGGACTTGAGCATCGTGGATTTTGGTACTCAAGGAGGTCCTGGAACCCTCCCTACAGATACTGAGGGACTGTAGTTCAGTTTTGGGGGAGTCAAAAGTTATACGCAGATTTTCAACTGGCGGGTGGGAGGTGGAGGGGAAGGTGCCTGTAATACGTGTTGTTCAAGGGTACTGTATTTTTTGGGCCGGCCGAGTGGCACGATGGTTAAGGGTACTGTATTTTCTCTACATATTCAAAAACAGACTTGTGGTGGTCAAGTTTTGTTTTTTAGTATTTGAATTCTGTTCTACAAGGTTTACTTTTTCTCTTCACACACTGTTTCTGTGTCCGACTAGGATTTGTCCTTCCTTTTTGTTAGCTGTGTCATATATTAATACCAGGACTAACCAATGTGCAATGGATGGACATTCAGGTTGATTACAGCCTTGCTGCAGTGAACACCTCCATACACATATTATCAGGCATTTAAAATTGTTGTTGTTTTTTT